TTCCTCACCATATGCATCAATATAAATGTGCACGACATCACCCTTCGTGCTTTATCACTCTTCCTCGCCCAAACAGTAGAAACAACAACATCCCGGCAAGGGAATCAACAATAGAAACAATAACATCCTGGCAAAGGAATCAACAACAGAAACAATAACATCCCGGCAAGGGAATCAACAACAGAAACAATAACATCCCGGCAAGAGAATCAACCATAGAAATAATAACATCCAGATAAGGGAATCAACAATAGAAACAATCTTGTTTTAACAGTTAGCTTCGCAATATAGATCTCAACTTGAGTCAATACTCAACAATGGTCAATTACCAAGAGAATATCATCAGTCTTACGAAACAGGAATAATCGTCAATTTAAGCATGAATAGTACATAATAAGGATCACGGAAAAGCCAAGAACAAAATAACAAGACATGATAAGCACAAAATAACTACACTGGTAACCATGACAATTGGACATGTAACATATTTGCACGAAGTCATAAAGGAACTCACAATCAAGAAGTATCAAAACAATAAGGAATGCAATCACTTCAATTAAGGCAATTAAGGGTCAAGTAACACGTAAGAATTAGAGGAAATCTAACATCATATGGAGCATATAGAGGTAACTTAAGCAATTAAGAAACTCAATCACATTGGAATACTTTGCACATAATGAACATAAGGACCTAAGAATCCTAGAGGCAAATTTCTCACAAATAAGTCCGAGCACGCACTCGTCACCTTGCGTGCACGGATTACAATTTGCATAAAAGACTCAAATCCTAAGGGGAAGTCCCCCACACAAGGTTAGGCAAGATACTTACCTCAAAAACGACAAACTGGTACTCTAAAATGCACTTCTCAGGTGAAAAGACCTCTGAACGGCTCAAATCTAACCAAATTAACTTCAAAGCACAAATAAAACACATAAGAAAATATTCCGGAACATAAAGTCTTAATCTTTAACAAAATCCAAAAATCAGTCCAAAAGTCGACCCCCGGACCCGCACCTCGGAATCCAACAAATTTTACAAAAATCGAATACCTATTCTAATATGAGTTCAACCATACAAAGTTTATTAAATTCCGATACTATTTGGCCTCTCAAATCATGATTTTTTATTCTAGGAATTTTCCTCAAAAACCAACATTTTCCTCAACCCAAATCACAAACTAAATGATAAAAATGAAGCAAAATCATCGAATATGTTAGATTCTAGGTGGAGAACACTTACCCAATCGAATTGGTTGAAAAACCCACAAGGAAGCTCCCAAAACCGAGCTTTAGAAGTCAAGATATAATGAAAATGGTGTAACCCTCGATTTGGAAATTATATTCTGTCTTCCCAGATTTTGTGCATCACGAACGCGGAAGGACAATCGCGTTCGCGAAGAAGGGAAACTAAAGCTTCCAAGAAAAGCCATTGTGAACGCGAGAATAGATGCTTACGCGAACATGAGGGAGTGGCTGCAAATGCGAAGAAGGATAAGGCAGAGCTTCACGAATGCGAGGCGTGTTATGCGAACGCGAAGAAGGATTTCTAGGTGGTCAGCAACAAAGCTTCGTGAACGCGAAAGGCGGTTCGCGATCGCAGAAGAGGATACCAGAAGCAGAAAATAGCGGTTCAAAAACAAGGGAAAATGATATGTAGCCCACCCGGAACACACCCCAGGCCCCCGGGACCCCATCTAAACACACAAACAAGTCATATAACCTAACACGGACTCGCTCGAGGTCTCAAATCATATCGAATAATGCCAAAACAACGAATCACACCATGAATCGAACTTAGGAACTTTCAAACCTTTCAACTCTTAAAACTCGTGTCGAAACCTATCAAATCAACCTGGAATGATGCCAAATTTTGCAGATAAGTCCAAAATGACATAACAGAGCTGTTCCAACTCTTGGAGTCGCATTTCGACCTCGATATCACAAAAGTCAACTATTTGTCAAACTTCTCAATTTTCCAAACTTCAAGTTTTCCAATTTTCGCCGAAACGCCTCAAATTACTCTACGGACCTCCAAATCCAAATCCCGACGCGTTCCTAAGTCTAAAATCACCATACAAAGTTGTTGAGATCAACCACAACCCATTCTGAGGCCGTTTACTCAAAAGTTCAATTCCGGCCAAATTCCCACCGCTTAAGCTTCCAACCTACATTCCTTCTTCCAATTCGACTCTGATTCATCCAGAAACAGAATCAAAGCATGCACGCAAATTGATACACATAATATGGCGCTGCTTATAACCTCAAACTTTCGAACCGAATGCAATTGCTCAAAACGACCAGTTGGGTCGTTATATAAAATATTCTGAAAGTGGAGAGAAAGCTCCCAATGTTGTCTACAAAGGGAAGCCTTGGAGCAACAAGATAGTTGCCATCATACGCTTCTTCAAGCAGTCATGGCCTGACGCTCAACAACTTGTGGTAAATTTGGTTATAAGTCAGCAGATTATATAGTTTTTTGGTCCTTTTAGCCGTCATCATTGTTGAGTAAGAAATTTTTAGATTTGAAACCTGAACTCTAAATTCGATATGACTTCATTGAGACACACTTACTGGTTACTGAACAACATCTATAGTAGTCGTCCATTATAGTTTTCATTATTTTGTTGCTTTAGTATGTCTTCACTATACAAAATTATCATGTTAGTTGGGTTTGTTAATGTCACGATCCAGACCGATGGACCGCGACGGGTGTCGAGTCCTACCTGTCGAACACCCTTAAGCATGCGTCTAAGATATAAACTGGAATGACATCTGCTGAATTTAGAAAATAACATACATGAAGGAAACCTGCTAAAAAGGCATATGTACATATACATGAGGAATACAGTGGGCGAGTTGGCAAGGTTGCTATAGATAACTATATACCTAAAACTGAAAGCCGACACGGCCACATGCTATCCAACTATACATAATTGTCGACAGACCTCTAATAAAAATACAATTGTACAAGGATGGGACTGAGCCACATCATACCCATATATATAAGTATATCGTACCAAAACCAGACGCAGCTCCGGATCAAGTGGATCATGCCAACTCTCACTAATCAAGGGTCCTAAGAAGAGGGACCGTCGGCTTGCCTACCTGCACCTGTGGGCATGAAACGCAGGCCCCAGAAAATAGGACATCAGTACAAATAATGTATTGAGTATGTAAGGCATGAAAATCAGTATATAAAAGATATAGATGAAACATGGAATAAAGAGATCCATCTGTAAATCTGAATAACTTTGTAAATTATGAAATATTTATATTGTCATGCACGTACATATAAATGTCGTGCCATGCATAGGTATAGGTGTACATAACATCATCAAGCCATTGAGGGCATCCCATCATATTGTCTCGGCACTATGGGCAACATCATCAACATATACCAACTGATCAGGTGGTGGTGCATATATAATGTCGTAACATTTTTTCCATATCCCATATACATAAATATATACATATAAATACGCGTATATAACATCGTCTGGTCATGGGTCAATGTACATGCATAAATGAATAAAATGCATGAAAATATATTAAAAATCTCAATATTCTTTTCGGATAAACTTTATCAACTGTGTATTATTTTGAGACCCATGAACAGAAGATATAATAATATGTCCCATGGGAAATCAAGAACACAGAGACCCCTAGTATTTCTATGAATAGAGTCGTTTATGAAAACTGTGTGTTTTCTCATTTCTTCTGTATAACTTGGATCATGTCAAAAAGAAAGAAGGGATAGCTTTAAAATACCCGGAGTAGGGAAAATTCGTATAATATTTCTGAAAAAGATTGCACTGTACTCCTTTAGAACCGTAAAATTTTACGTTGCTACGGTTCTAACAATTCTCGTTGGAATTGTTTGCAAGAATTTCGGTTGAAGCTTTTTCAGTTGAAGCTTAGTGTCTGTTTTTGAATATTTGAATTAGGAAAAAAGACTTATAGTTCAATTTGTTATTCTCTGTCCAAATGAACCAAGCTTTAAAAGAGACCAAACATTTTATAAACTTTGAATGCCTTTACTTTACATGTTAAAGTCTTGTTACCCTAGGTAGCCACCTAAGCCAATTTGGCCCTTAGTCATTTTATTTTATCAGCCCCTTGCTGCCACATATTTTTTCTTTGGGAGGGGTGTGGTTAGTCTTATCTCATAATTTATTAATTAACTAGGTAATGTCCTGTTACCCAATAATTAATCAACTGCCCGCATAATTAAGAATTATCTCAAATTACTTAAAATATTACTTATTTTTAATATACTTTATACATCATACTATTACGGTCATATGGTACCTTGTACGGTAATAATCCATAAATATCGAGCATTATAGCTCAGACCGTATTTTATCTCAAATCGCCAACCTTCAGCGAAACTCATTTTTTTTAATTCGTGTATCCTTTACCCTTCATGGCACTTACTTATCGCTTATTATAAATAGCATACATACGTTAACCTCAAGATAATCTCATCCCGAGTCTACGTCGATTAACTGAAGATGGAACTTTAATCGTACGAAAACGCGAGATATAACAGTTAATTTTAGTGGCTAGCCATTAGAATTGGTTCTGGGCTATAAAGTGTATATTGTAATTTATGGCCAGCGGATGATATTAGTAGTTTTTATCGAATGGCTAGTAATGAATTTTGCTCAGGATTGAAAACTTGGTTGCAAATAACGGCACACTTTTTAGGGTTGAGATCCAATCTAGTAAAATAGTTTAATTCAAATGTTGACACATGTTGTAATATAGTTTCAGTGGTCAGAATCTATTTGGTCTTTATTCTCTCTCCTCTTTCTCTCTTGGCGTACTTTAAGTGTGATTTGCTAAACAATGTTGGCTGAAAATGGGGCGAGGATGACCAAAAAGGAATGTGAAGAAGGTTCAACTGGCTGATTTCATAATGTCAGGTAATCGCAGTGGAGGACAAGGAAGGGCTTCGTCGCCGACTGAAACCCTAACTAGCGAAAAAGGAAAATCTCGATAATGCCTAATACAGGACCAGTAAGCCCAGAAGGTAACATTGTTCCATTGCTTACTGTAGAACGAATAGTAACACAAACGACTGAGAAGACTAAGAAGTTGGACCAAATCCCCTCTCAAAGGGCTATTGCTAGCTCGAACAAACCAATTGCAGATGAAGAGCAACAGGGTAATTAACACCAAGAGGAAAATCTGCTGAAACAGGAGAAGGCAGGTCCAACAAATAGGAAGGCAGGAAAACCATGGGTGAACCTGTTTGCTAGCAATAGGATGGCTGCAAGGGGGATGGACTTGGTCTATATTCCTCTAATGATTCAGAATGGAGTTAAAAAGGTTAAATTGTAACAAGAGGAGATGACAGATGAAACCAAAAAATGGCAGAAGACAATCATACTGTATGTCATTGGCACCTTCCCATCAATTGGTACTATGGAAAGGTTCATAGCTTCCCAATGGAACTTTGCTGCTAAACCAAAAGTTTACTATCACAATGGGCGATATTTTGTCATTCTATTCAATACCATGGAGGATAAAAATGAAGTAATGTACTCAGGGCCACACACTTTAGGTAACAAGCCAATTATCCTCAAATCGTGGTCTGTTGATTTCAATTTCTATGATGAGGTACTGAAGACCATACCACTGTGGGTGAGTTTTCCAAACCTACCTTTGAATTGTTGGGGTAATATTACTTTGAGCAGAATTGCTAGTGGTTTGGGCTGCCCTATATATGCTGATGAATGTACATCTAGTACAGTTAGAATCTCTTATGTTAGGGTTCTAATTGAAATGGATATTTCAAAAGAATTTCCAAAATGCATTATAGTGCAAGATCTATCGAGGAAAGAATTTGAGCAGGTGGTAGAGTATGATTGGGTGCCACAATACTGCCATGAATATCTTATGGTTGGGCATGATTGTGCTGTCACACAAGAAATTGCTGAACCACATATAGAAAGGCAGAGGGATGGACAACAAAAACAAAAGTTTGTAGTACTAAATCAACAAGACAAAACTTATAAGACTAGAGGCAATATGCAGCAAGCAAAGGCTCAAAAGCCAACAGTTCAATGGGTAGCAAGAGGACAATTCAAATAGAATGATGAGGCTAAGGACAAACAGGCAACTCAACCTCAGCAGCATGAGATGCAAACATTGGATAATGACAAAGAATCATAGCAAAAATCTAATGGAAAAGGCATGAAATCTAACCATTCCAGGCCTCAGCAATATGCTCTTGTCACTACCAATAGTTTCTTTCCTTTAAGAGTGAAACCACATGCTGAACATACAAGCTGGGCTGATGTTGTTGAAGGACAACGGAGTACAAAGGAAGGTGCAAAAGAGGTTCCCCATCAATCCATCTCATTATGAAGATAGCTACATGAAATGTGAGGGGGTTCAAAAAATTATATAAGCAAAAGGAGATGAAAGTGTTCTTACAGGTGAATAAGATAACTATAATAGCAATTATTGAACATAGAGTTCAAGATACCAAAGTAAAAGATATAATAAACAAGGTTGCAACTGGTTGGAATTGGTGTTCGAATATTCATCAAATGACAGATGAAGAATATGGATTATGTGGGATCCTAATAGTAACATGTTAACGGCTCTACAAAGCCATACATAATTCATTTATGGACTAGTACAAAGTGTTGTATCTACCAATCAGTTTGATTTCACTGTTGTGTATTGACTTCACACAATTGCCAATAAATATGATTTGTGGGCTGCTTTAAAGGAGTTGGAGGAACAGATGAACATGCCTTAGCTAATTACGGGGGATTTCAATATAGTTAAGGATATGGATGACAGAGTCAATGGCACTGCAGTTCATGAAAATTAAGTTAAAGGCTTCAGAGATTTTATGGAAGATTGTAGAGTAACTGAATTAGCAACTGTAGGAAGAACTTATACATGGACCAATAGTCATGTGTATAGCAGGATAGATAGGGCACTTGTAAATGCTCAATGGATGATGGATATGCCTCTTATGCAAGTCCAAGTGATGGATCCTCATTTCTCAGGCCATTCTCCCCTAAGTATAGAGATGGAATTAACAATGGATAACAGAAAGAAGCCTTTCAAATTTTATATTGCTTGGCTGAACATCTAAAATACGGTCAAACTGGTACAAGAAGGATGGCAAAACAGGAGTATTGATATGAAAGATATATGGCAGAATTCAAAAATTGTGAAAGCTGCTTTGAAAGGCTTGAATAAGAAAGAGTTTGCAGATATAACTATAAAGGTAAAAAAGATGAGAGAGGAGTTGGAAATCATTCAAACACAGATGAGAAACACTATCTCAATTGTTGATATGTTTGAAGCTGAAAAAGATATTAGACAGAAGCTCGAGAAATGGAGTATTATAGAGGAAAGTATCTTCAAGCAAAGGTCAAGAGTACAGTGACTTAAATTTGGGGACTCTAACACAACTTATTTCTTTTCCAGCATGAAAGGGAGAATCTCACAAAATCAAATCAAGCTTCTCACAGCTGAAGATAAAAATATATTAAGAACTACATCAGGCATTGAGCAAGATAGTGGGCTTTTATAAGAGATTTCTAGGGAATTCATCTAGTAGCCTGCCTGCAATTGATCCCACTGTGATGAGGCAAGGCCAGTATTAACAAAAAACCAGCAACTACAACTAATCTCACCTTTCACTAGTTATGTGTGTTCAAAGCAATACAGGGGATTGATGACTCGAAAGCTCCAGGGGGTGATGGATTCAATGCATGCTTTTACAAGAAAGCATGGACTATAATTGGGAAGGATGTAAGAGCAGCAGTTCTAAACTTCTTCAATAAGAACAAAATGTACAAACCAGTTAATAGCACCTCAGTCACTCTGATTCCCAAAGTGAAGAATCCAACTTCAATCAAACAGTATCGACCTATCCCATGCTGCACTATTCTATATAAGCTCGTCTCTAAGAAGCTAATAAGTCGACTACAACTAGTGATGGAATATTTGATTGATAAGAGCCGGGCAGCTTTTGTACCAGGAAGAATGTTGAATGACAACATCTTACTAGGCCATGAGCTTGTGAAAGGCTATGGAAGGAAAGGAACTTCACCCAGATGTATGATAAAAATAGACATGCAGAAGGCATTTGATCCCTGGAATGAGTGTTTCTTGGATAGGTCCTCACAACAATGAATATACCAGGCTAGTTCATCAAATGGATTATGATTTGTCACCATAGTGTCCTATTCCATTGTGATTAATGGCAACCCAACAACTCTTTTTGATGTTAAATGTGGAGTCAGACAAGGAGACCATTTATCCCCATATCTCTTTGTACTGGATATGGAATATTTGACAAGGTTACTAAAGGGTTTGAAGAATAAACTAGACTTTAATTTTCACCCAGATGTGAGAAGTTAAACATAGTACAACTAAGTTTTTCCAATGATCTGCTTTTATTCTGTAGGGGTGACCTAGTGTCTACACAGATGTTATATAATTGCTTTCAACGGTTTTCTAACTCATCTGGGATGATTCCAAATCAAGAGAAAAGTTGTATATACTTTGGAGGGGTGCTGATGGACATACAACATCAAATTTTGCATAGGCTGGGGTTCTCCATGGGATCTCTCCCTTTCAGATACTTTGGTGTACCACTGAGTGCAAAAACAATTATTAGTGGCTCAATGTAGCCCCTGCTAAATAAGATGTTGGCAAAGGTTCATCATTGAATAGAAAAATTCTTGTCTTATGCAGGAAAATTACAATTGATCAAGAGTGTTATGATTGCTATCCAATCCTTTTGGTTGCAGATATTTCTGCCAAATAATAAACCTGCTAAAGTATTTGCAAGAGATTCTTATGGACAGGGGAAGCTGGAAGTAGCAGGAAGGCACTGGTGGCATGGAAGCAACTCTGTTGCCTTAAGACTGTAGGTGGCCTGAACATCACTGATATTATTACATGGAATAGAGCAGTAATCCTTAAACACCTTGAAACTTGTGCAAAAAGAAGGATCGATTATGGATACAATGGATGCAAACATATTATATATATAAAGCAAGGAGAAGCATGGGCTGTCAAAGCTAAGCAAGCATCATGGTTAACTCAAAAGATTTTGGGTGCAGTCAGGTACCTCACTAAAGAAAATATTATAGTGGAATAGGTGATGACTGCAGATGTTTACTCCATCAGAGACATGTACAACAAACTTAGAGGAGAATTTCCAAAGGTTTCATGGAGGAAACTGTTGTGTAAAAATGATAGCTGCCCTAAATGGATCTTTATTGTATGCATAGCCATATAAGGCAGGCTATACACTAGGGATAAGCTTATCAAATGGGGTATATAACAAATCCAATTTGTTCCCTGTGTGAAGGAGCTAACGAGGATCATGAGCACCTGTTCTTTGAATGTAATTACTCAGTGGCTAATTGTTTCACATTCTTTGATCTGTTCTTCCGGATAATTTATTCGCTTTCGGGTCTATCTCTCTGCTGGGCATCACCAGTGGTAGGGGTGACAGCCCCCTATTGGTTTGGTTCCATGGAATTTTCTATGTATTTCAGGCTGGCTTTGGACGACGAGCGAGACGGGCACATGCAAATAGTGAAGTACAACCCAAGTGTTAGCAAGGGACGACAGGAGTGGGACGCGAACGAGCTAGGTAGACGCAACACCATCGGGTATACCAAGACAATTCCCAGGTTCTTATTACGGGAGTTGGTACCTCCCGTTTTCAAGTTTCCGTCTGTTGTGTTAGTTGTGTTAGTTGAATTGTTGTAGTCTGAGTTCTTATTAGTTTGTTCACCAAATTAGTGTACCTGTAGTGGCATCTTGTCTTCTTCTAGTTTGATTTGTTGTATGTGTTAGTGACTCCCCTTAGTTTGTCGGAGGTATAGTGGTTGTGGTCTGAGATAGTCGAGTGTGCTCATATCCTCAAGGGCTGTATGGGGGGTGGGTCGGGAGATAGGGNTCATGGAACGTAGGTACATTGACAAGTAAGTCTATAGAGTTGGCGAAGATCCTCTAGAAGAGAAGGATCAATATAGCGTGTGTCCGGGAGACAAGGTGGGCTGGGTCGAATGCGAGGGACGCGGACGGGTATAAACTTTGGTACTCAGGAACCCAGAAGGGTAAGAATGGGAGTGGGTATTTTGGTGGATAGGGAACTTAGAGAGTCTGTGGTTGAGGTTAGACGAGTGAATGATAGGTTGATTATTATTAAGTTAGTGGTAGGTCAGTGCACCCTAAACGTTGTTAGCACCTATGCGCCTCATGTGGACCTAGACGAGGAGGTTAAAAGACGCTTTTGGGAGGGGTTAGATGAGATTGTACGTCAGGTACCACCTGCTGAGAAGTTATTTATAGGAGGAGATTTCATTGGTCATATTGGGGCAACAGCAGGTGGGTATGACAAAGTACATGGAGGCTTCGGTTTTGGGGAGAGTAATGGAGGAGGAACCTCATTACTGGACTTCACTAAGGCATTTGGGTTGGTGATTGCAAACTCTATCTTTTTGAAGAGGGATGAGCATTTGGTTACTCATCAGAACGCGGTGGCACATACTCAGATTGACTATCTCCTCCTCAGGAGGCGTGACAGAGGGTTGTGCAAGGATTGTAAGGTGATTCCAGGTAAGATACTCGTGATGCGGAATAGGCTCTTGGTGATGGACGTTGGTATTATGGTGAAAATGAGGAAAATGTTTGCTCGAGGAAGATCGAGAATCAGGTGGGGAGCCTTAACTAAGATAAAGCCCAAGAGTTGGAGGGGCGGTTGTCAGCAATGAGATCTTGGAGGAGTAGTGGTGACGCGAGCACTACGTGGTCAATGACAGCAGACTGTATAAGGGAGGCTGCGAGAGAGGTGTTATGGGTCTCGACGGGCATCTCCAGCAGGCACAAAGGTGACTGGTGGTGGAATGAAGTGGTACAAGGTAAAGTGGAAGCGAAGAAGGAGGTGTACCGGTCGTTAGTGGGGAGAATAGGCTAGCGTGCATAGAGAGGTATAAGGTATCTAGGAAGGAAGCAAAGCTGGCGGTCACAAAGGCTAAGACTGCGGCTTATAGTCGTATGTACGAGGAACTATGGGAAAAATGCAGGGAGAAGAAGTTATTTCG